CTTTAATATCTTAATAATTACATTTATCAGTTATATTGTTCAATAGTTTTCTTTTTCTGCATTCCTTTAAATCGGGTTTGAATATAATACTTGGGAAATTCTTTCTCTATGATTTGGAAAGATTTTTAAGTATGAATTATTATACTTTGAGGGCATAAAAAAACTCTGCTTTAGGAAGCTTTATAGTTATATTTGATTCATAGCTTCTTTTCCATTTCTGTCTGTTTTGGTTTTCTACTTATGAATCAGTTTTAATAATTTATATAAATATCAGGTTTTTAAAAAACATATGCTGTAAAGTTGTTTATATTTTTATTGAGAATTCCCTTACAGAAAATATCATTTGGAAGAGCTCATGGAAAATTTTGTTTGATAGACAAGCACAATATTTTTTTTTATTTTTTTTATTTTTTTTTTACTTTAAGTTCTGGGATACATATGCAGAACATGCAGGTTTGTTATATAGGTATACATGTGCCATGGTAGTTTGCTGCACCTGTCAATCCACCATCTAGGTTTTAAGCCCTGCATGCATTAGGTATTTGTCCTAATGCTCTCCCACCCCTTATCACCACCCATTGACAGGCCCCAGTGTATGATGTTCCCCTCCCTGTATCCATGTGTTCTGATTGTTCAATCCCACTTATGAGAACTTGCAGTGTTTGGTTTTCTGTTCCTGAAGCACAAACTTCTTTAAGAGCAGCTAGTGACAAGCAGGATATAGCAATACATACATTATACAATATAATGAATCAATATTGATACATTACTATTAACAAAAGTCTATACTTTATTCAGATCTTCGTTTTTATGTAAAGCCATTCCTCTGTTCCAGGATCCAATCCAAGATAGCACATTATATTTAGTTGTCATGGTTTTCTAGGTTCTTCTTGCTTGTGACAGTTCCTTAGACTTTCCTTGTTTTTGATTATCTTTATAGTTTTGAGACATACTCTTCAGGTATATTGTAGGGTGTCCCTCTATTGGGATTTGTTTAATTGTTTTTCTCATTACCAGACTGGGGTTATGGGTTTTGCAGGAAGACTGCAGAGGTAAAGTACAATTCTCATCACATTATATCAAGTATCCATCCTATCAGTATGATGTGTCAGTGTTGATGTTAATCCTCATCACTGTCTGAGGTAGTGTTTGTCAGGTTTCTCCACAGGAAAGTTACTCTCTTTTCCCATTTTCTAAACTGAACTCTGAAAGAAAGTCACTATGATCAGTTCCCATTTAAGAAGTGAAGAATTCTACTCCTCCTTCAGAGTGGAGTATCTACAGAAATTGTAGGAATTCTGCATCATGTTTCTTCTTTCCCCCATTTATTTATTTATTCAATCACATATTTATTTACATGAGTATGGGCTCATGGCTATTAATTTTATACTTTGGGTTATAATCCAATACTACGATATTTTGCTACTCAAATTGTTCCATCTTTGGACATTAGGAACTCTTTCAGTTGGCTCCTGTCCCTGACACATCCCCATCAATGTGGGATTTATTTGAGTTCCTTACCTTCCAGAATTACACGATGCTCTAGGATCATCTAATATATTTCCTGAGCCTAGAATCAGCCGTTTTTCCAAGGAGTCCTGGTTCCCGTTAGTGTAGAATGACATTAGAAACCAATATCTAGGCTGAAGATGTGCTTATTGCTTTCGGGTGTTGTTTTAGGCATTCTCAGCTGGCAAAGCAAATAAATATATATATATGTAAACTAACTCCTGAATATTCATACATCCATAAATATTTCTATATGTAACCATCCGTATTTATATTAAGCTAAAACTGATGTTCCCAACTCTAATCTATTATCATAAGGATTACATCCTCCTCTCATTGCTTATCTGTATATAGCCACTTCAAAAATGAGGAACCTGGCTCCTATCATCCACTTCCATTTAAATAACTGTTTAATTGCAGTATACATGTATAGCCATGTCAGAATTGGTAATGTAAATCAACAACTTTATTAACTAGAGCACAGTGCCTATGTGCAGTTTCTTCTATTGTTAGATTTTTAACCTTGCAATTCCAAAGTTATTTAGGTCGGCAACTTTTCCCCAGCCTTTACAGTGAGATTGTTTCATATAAGTGTAATGCAGTTAGATTCTCTTGTCACAACCTTCATTCCTTCCTGGAAACCACCAACCTGCTAAATAACATATTTTTTTCCATTCTTCACAGCACATTTATTTCAGTAATTTTGTTATATCGGTTCTTACCATGAGCATAGTGTTACACGATTTTTGTACATATAATCACATCCAAAACAAGTTCAAAACTTTAAATTGTAAACATTCTCATCATATGTAGAAATATTTTAATTAGTGTATTAAGTTCTGCTAACTGATAAAATTTGGAAGATATCATAAAAGAATGTGTATTCTTAATTGTGTAGTGAGAATTATTTGTTAATTACATTTCTACAATGTTAAAGAGGCAAATCTGTTCTGAAAGCATGTCAAATTTTAGGTAAAACATTAAAAACAAACAAATCTGTTAACAAATGAATGTCTGCAATAAAGAACATTAGATTTTCAAAATATATTGATACAAAAATGTAAAGGGTAAATAGTATCTTTGTTGACAAAATAGGAGGCAGCATGGATTCACCACTTTGTCTGAGAAATGCAACGGGAGTGAAGAATATTTCCTTACCACAAATAATTTTCCGGATGATGTACATATTACTTTTTGAAATATTTGTTTAAGCAAATGTCCCTCCACTTTTTAGTATTGAAAAAGCTATTCCATGTGATTTTTTAAAAAACACTTTTACACATCTAGATAAAATGTGTAAAATGTTTGTATGTATTTAGAACATACAAACAAAATATAATAGCTTATTTTTCTACGCAAGTCTTACGGAGAATAAACAGAGCCTTGATTCTGGTAACACTGCAGAAAACATAATTTTCCAATGTGAATAGTATTTTTTAATATGGTATACATTAAGTTTCCCTCTTTGTGTTGTAAAATTCTGTAGGTTTTGACAAATGCATGGTGTCATGCGTCTAACATTACAGTATCATACAAAATAGTTTCACTGTCCTAAAAACCCTCTGTGCTACACTACTCAAACCTCTGTCCTATCCTCTGAACCTTTGGCAACCACTGATCTTTTAACTGTCTCTATAATTTTGCCTTTTGTAGAATGACATACAATAAAAATCATGCAGTATGTAGCCTTTTCAGACTACCTTCCTTCACTTATCAGTATGTATTTAAGGTTCATCCATGTTTTTTTATGGCTTGGTAGCTTGCTCCTTTTCCTTGATGAATAACATCCCATTGTATGGATATTCCACGATTTGTTTATCTATCGCTTCTTTAAGAACATCTTGGTTTCTGGAGAATATGAATAAAGATGCTATAAACATTCATATGATGGTTTATTGCAGGCATGTTTTAAAATCAATTGGGTAAATGTGTAAGAACACGGTTGCTGGATTGCATGGTTAAACGACATTTAACTTTGTAAGAATCTGCCACACAGTCTTCCAAAGTGACTGAACCATTTTTTTATTCACCAACAATGAATGAAAGTTCCTGTTGCCGCACATCCTTACTAGCATTTGGTATTATCAGTTTTTTGGACTTCAGACGTTCTAATGGGAGTGTAGTGGTATCTCATTGTTGTTTTAATTTGTATTTCCTTAATGATAAAAGACATTGAACGTTTTTCCTTTTCTTTTGACCTCTGAGTATCTGCTTTGCTGGGTGTTTTCAGATCTTTTGCTCACTTTTAACTGACTTGCTTGTTTTCCTTTTTTCTTTTTTTTTTAATTGTTGAGTTTCAAGAGTTCTTTGTATACTTTGGGTGTAAGCCCTTGCAAAAATGTTTTGCAAATATTTTCTCCCAGTATGTGATTTGTTTCTTTATCTTAAAAGTGTCTTTTGCATGGCAGAAGTTTAAGTTGTTTTTTCTTTTATGAATTGTGATTTAGGTGTTGTATCTAAAATCTCATTGCCAAACCCAAAGCCACTTAGATTTTTTTCCTGTATTTTCTTCTAGGCTGCTTATTTGTGTCAAATGGATTTAGATCAGCCAGGCAAGAGTAGGGTATCCCATTCTTGTTGATATGATTTTAAAGAGACAACTTTCTGACAGTCTATGATTTAAAAAAAATTTTTTTTCTCAGTAAAAGTGCAGCTATGAAAGAGGTTGTTCTGACTCAACTGCAGAAGCCTGACCTTGGGAGAAAAGTTGTTTCCTGTTAACTTTGCAGCTGGTTTTATCTGTGACTGTTTTTTGTGTGTCTGCTTTAATCTGCACAATGAATGGACAGTCTAATGTTTTACTTTTCCAGAGGGAGCAGATATTTTGCTTCCTCACCACACAAGCTCACCACACAATGCAGGGTTCTTAGCCTGCATCGACTTGATCATAAACTCCGGAAAAGCCAGATATTGGTCAATATTTCTTTCCAAAAGTGGAGATGATAAAGTAGAAGTATAGAAATCCTAAAGTCCAGACCTTCCTTGTTCAGCCAGGTTTTGCTCCTTCTCCACACACCTTTGTTCTTTTCTCCAGCTTCCAAGGAATCTCACAAAGGGAGCGGAACACAATGAACCTATTCTTTCCTGCTTTAAATCCAATTCCACGTAGTCACGGACACTGTTGGGCAGGATCTCTGGCTTGGTGGAAAGTGGGGCATGCTGCCTAAAGTGATTAGTTTGGAGACCTTCTCTGTGCCGTCGCTATGGGAATGCCAGCTGTGTGTGCTCTGGGTGCGGAGCGGAGTCGCCAGGACACACGCAAGCCTCCACACCCTCAGCTGGCCCGGGGCTTGGGTCCTGGCCCCGCCCCCTGCGGACCCGGCGCCCCGTCAGTTCCGTCCCCGGCCCTGGGAACTGCTCTTGACCCCACTCTGCGTATCTGCCGGAACCTGGCTGGCAGCACTAGTTGCTGCCCCGCCAGGCCGAGTGAGGGCGGAGCCGGGCCTCCAGCCGCGAGGACTGGAGCCGCGGGAGGTGGAGCCCCGGTCCGGAAACCGGGAATCCGCGGCCATGACGGTGCCGGTACGCGGCTTCTTGCTGCTCCGCGGCCGCCTCGGCCGAGTGCCGGCGCTGGACAGAAGCACAGCACCCTCCGTAAGGGCACCGGGAGAGCCCGGGAGCGAGTTCCGCGGCTTTCGGAGCAGCAGTTTGAGGTACGAGGGCTGCCGGCGCCGGTTGCGGAGCCGCTGGCGGTGGGAGGGCGGCGAGGGCGCGGGCGGCGCTAGCGCGCGTGGGGCCCAAGGCTTGTGGGCCGCCGCGCGGCGGCGGGCTGGGTGGAGGACCGCGTTGGCTGTGAGGTGGCCTTGCGGGTCGCGCGGTCAATTCGCAGTTACCTCAGCTCGGGGAACGAAACCGTGCTCTGCTCTGGGCTCTCGCACCAGAACGTGCCATCTTTCCAGCAGGTGCAGTTGATTTAGGAAGACATTTGAGGCACTAAGAAAAGGTACCATGAAAACACGTGGTCGACTTTGGCTAAACATTTGTTTTTGCTTTGGTTATTTTAGTGTTTTGTAAATAAAAGAGTGGACGTTGTCCAGATGACTTACTAATGTTTGCGTTTCTGATTTCCTTTGTTAATGGTTTTGTCGAGGTCTTTTCCAACCCTAAAATTATTTATGGTTTCACAAAACCAGATATCAATGCAGATTTCTCAGTCTTTTCATGTATGGCTGTCCCTAAACCTCTGTCAGGTGATGAGACTTAGATTCATTACATCTCTTTGGACTTGGTTGCTGGGGAAGGACCATGCAAATACAAAAGGGTACGCACTCTTCTGTCTTCTACTTTGCTTGTCTTACTTGCAAAATCCGTCTTAACAAGATGAAAATATATCTTCTTGACCCAGAGCCTGTGAGTCCAGAAGAACCTCTGTTTTCAGACTTTCAGAGCTTCCAGAAATGCGCTTTCATTGCCATTTTATGTCCAAAGATTGTATCTCACTCGAGTTTTTGTATCCCCCAGTGCCCAGCACAATCCCTAGAAAAAAGCAGTGATAAACATACTGTTTATTTAATTTAAATCAATTAGCTCCCTATTGTGTACATTTAGATCTTAGTCTTGAGTGACTGAATTTAAAAATTACTTCCTATAGGGTTTGCTTCGGACATAGTTTCTAGTGACTAGGTCTTCCACAAGGATATGTGAGAAAATAACTGAATCAGAGTTGTGTAAGCTGTAGTAGGGTGGGTAAGAATATGCCACTTAGTTTGGAACTACCAGCTAGCTCTACTACCTAGGAAAAGCAGATTCTGTAGAATTCTATTTGTATTAAAGAATTGAGGGAATTATTTGTCGTCACTCTAAATTACTTGTTTGTATTATTATTTTTTGAATTTCAGTTGTTTTAGGGGTGCTTTTCAGGGTGAGGATAACTTGTTTCAAATAGTACAACTTGATTAATTTCCCTTTGTCAGCTTGCTGTAAACAACTCCATCTCCCCATCTTCTCCATGACCTGCATACATTGAATGGAAGTCATTACAAACAACAGTTACAACCCCAAAATTTGGTTGTAGCCACTTGCTTTGTACACACACACACACACACACACACACACCCTCAACTCATGTAGAATTCAGAACTTTTAAGTAATACGTAATGACCTCCTTATAATTTAAAATAGTTGAGTGCAAAGGTTTTGGAAAGCTATTATCCCCGTGGACGATAACAGTTACTAATTTCAGCCCGGCTGCTTTCAGCTCCACTTGATGCGTATTATAATTATAAAAATAAGTAATATATTTTGATAGTTTTTATTTTTTAAAGACAGCAGTAGGCAAGTTAAGATAAGGCGGGGGTTTTGACGCCCTCTTTGTACTGAATACCATCTCTGAAGGTGAGGTTGGCCCCAAGGTTGAGAAACACCTGTGGACTTGTGGGTCTCGGGTGGGGAGGAATTCGGACAGTGTGTTGATGCTTATTGGTGTCTCTTTTCTCTTCTAGGACCAGCAGAGAGAAGAGATTCCATCTTCCAGAGGTTGCCACTGTCTGCCTCCCCACTTGTCCCCATCCACAGTCATCTTTTTTATATATATAGTGACACATTAGTTGTCTAGTTCTTCATAGTTAATGTGATTTAAGTCTGACATCATTTCTTTTGCCATGAAATTTACACCTTAGTGTTACTCTCACTGAAAATTGCCTTTAAGTTTGGTAAACTCTTATCCCAGTGATATTGACTGTTTTAAATTAACAGATTTGTCACGATTTCTGAGCTATGTAGAGCCTTAATTGAAAAAGTATCTTTGATTATTTTTTCATATTTTGGCCACATACCTATAATAATGGAATATTTACAATGCTTTTTAGTGGAGAATTTTTTAAAGTAGAATTTCAATAAATAATGTTTGATGGAGTTTGGAAGTTACCGTATTTTGAAGTATCATTTAACATTTTCCTCTCAATGAGTTTTCCTTTAAAATTTGCAATGAATTTGTTTTCCTGTTTATGCATGAGAATTTAGGTCTTATTAATTGGGGGAAATTAATGTTAAAGTAGTAAATAAGCCCTTCTTGTTGCAGCTTATTGTTTCTTGAAATGAATTAACTATCCAGGCAAAAGGTTAAAAATGAAAAAAAAAGTCTTTGTAACTAAATTCTTCCCATTTTGTTGTGTGTGAGCAGTTTACAAATCAAAATGTCCTTGGTTAAAAGTCATCACCTGAGTTTGTGCGCAGTGCTTTTCAGTGTGAGAAACCTGGTAGCAGCCCATCCCATATGGGTGGGAAGGTTATAGACCTTGCCATGCTCAAAGCAGATTTGTAGGTATCCTGCAATATGGGCACTTTCACAAACCCCGCTTTGGCTTATTCTACCTGAACTACTTATTTTAATTAACTAAATGGATATCCCAAGCATTCCATGTTTATCCTGTTGCTCAGTGAATCCTCAGATCGTTAATTTGATAGATTCTCTTTTTTCTCCTCATCCTATTCTTTTAGCTTTAAAAAAAACTGTGTACTGCCTACACGTCTTTTGGAAGTTTCACCTTTCTCTTTGTCACACTGGCATCAGCTTTATAATTTTTGCAGCTAGACCACATTTTTAAAAAATCTACATTTTTGGAACTAGTAAAAGATACTTATTTGTGTTATTTAAGTATTCATGTCTTTTACCATGGGTAGTTAAGTTTAATAATTAAAAAAGACACATTTTATCAGTAACAATGTTCATTTTTTTTCAGACTCTTCCCTCTACTACTTACTCTGTATTTCTGTCTCTTCTAATGACTAGGAAAGGCCGTTTCTCAAAATCATCTTCTATTTAGTTGGCAAATTTGATAATGTGGTGGTGTTCCTATCTTCCTGCTATACCTGTTCTACTGAAAATGAGATATAATAGCCATCTGGCTACAATTTTGATTTCTAAGAAATTCTTACGTCATTTTAAATTCAAAAACTAAATATTTCAACATTTGGTCTCTCATAAGTTTTATTTTCTTTGTTCCAGCTGTTCAGAAATAGTGTGTTCTAATATCTCCACAATCAAGATTTTTTACTAAAATGGATCAGTAGATGAAAAAGAGGGACTAGTAGTAATTTTAGATCTCGTTAGTTAATCATGATCTTACTAATAATTTGGCAATTTCTTTAATGACCCAAATCTTTGTTGTTCAAATGCCTTGAAATTGTTATTCTTTCATATTAGTACTCTGATGGGAGGATGAAAACAGCAGAAAGGAGCAACACCAGATGATCTTTCCATGGGCCCATACTCTTTCAAGGAATCCCACGGAACTCGTGAAGTTACGCTTTGGCTTAGAGATAATTAAGTTGTGGAAGGAGGTTTAAGAGAGGAGCTTGGGTGAAATTTGAGCTGTAAATGAGTATGCTAAATTAAAGAAATGATTAGTAATAAGTGATATTTGCTGTTAAGAAATTCACTTGGGATTTGAGAAGACATTGTACATGCAAGGTAGAAAACTTTATGGTCAGAATAGAACACAATCTGAACCTAAATTAACAGTAGTGTTAAAGAATTCAGGGCAGGGTATTATCCAAGAAGGCTTAGCCAGCTGCTCCACTTAAGGTTACATCATAAGTGTTTTCTGTGTTGCTATTGTTTTTATTAGCATTTCAATGACTGCATCATGTTATATTAAATCAATTGGCCCTAACTTACCTAATCATCTTGCTGTTTTTTAATGTCTAGTTCTTGGAAAATATGTAATAATTTACTCTCAGATTGAGGTCATGTTCTTGTCAACATCATACCAACCAGGTTTGTTCACTTCATCATCTGAACTCTATGTAGGTTTCTATAATTAGGCTCATTAGAGTGTTCCTAGATCCAAAGACTATCTAAAGATCTAAAGATTCATAATTCTAAAGTGAGGGTGTGTGTATAGTTTGCAACAGATGTTCTCTCCCCACTTTTTTTTTTTTTTTTTTTTTCTGTTTGTAATTAACTGGAACTGCAATGAATGCCATCATGCTTTTAAGGAATTCAGTTGTATTGTTGAAAAAGACATTTTTCTTAATATCGAAGGAGCTCTTGATGTTAAGCACTTTGCTGAGATTTTGCACATACAGTATGTCCTTCCATCCTCACAACAACTAAAGGAGGTAGATAGACACTATTACTATCTATTTCCAGTTAACAGATTGAGAAATTGAGGCTTAAAGAAATTAAACTTGTCCAAGTTGACACAGTAAGTACATGGTGAAGACAAGGCCTGAACCCACATCATCTTTCCAGTGTTCTTCTCTACAGGCAGTTTATAATTATTGACTTATCTCACTTTTGCTTTTTCTTCTTTTTGAAACATTTATTAATATTAAATCTCATAGAACTTTTGTGAATCTAGAAAGCTAATTTGCATGTATATTTTACAAATTATTTTGTTAGATTCCCTCAGTTTGAGATGTTCTTAACCTAGGACCTTATGGATAGAATTCAGGGGATTCATAAACTTGGATTGGAGGTGACTAACTTCTAATAAATTTAGCTTTTCTTTTTTCCATTGTCAGTGTTGGCAACAAATACGTAATATCATTAGTACATGTGACTTGCTAATATAATTTACAAATACTTCAGTATCACGAAGTTGAGGCAGATACCACAAAACATCATCTGCACATCACTATTTTGTTATGGTAGTTAGACCTACCACTAGATTCTGTTATTTAATACTTTTTTAAAAAAGCATTTGATAGT